GTGTGTGCGTGTGTGTGTGTGTGTGTGTGTGTGTGTGTGTGAGTCTGTGTGTGTGTGTGTGTGTCTGTGTGTCTCGCACGCGCGTTTTTGTGACATATGAGGACACAAATTTGTATAATGACATAGGTATTACAACTAGAAGGTGACTTATGAGGACACATCCCCATGTCCCCATTTTTCAAAACGATTATAAATCATACAGAGTGAGTTGTTTTTAGTTTTTTTGAGAAAGTAAAAATGCACAAAGTTTCCTGTAAGGGGTAGGTTTAGGTGTAGGGTTGGTGTAGGGCAATAGCACATACAGTTTGTACAGTATAAAAACCATTACGCCTATGGTCCCCACAAAGTAAAAATGCACAAAGTTTCCTGTAAGGGGTAGGTTTAGGTGTAGGGTTAGTGTAGGGCGATAGAAAATACAGTTTGTACAGTATAAAAACCATGACGCCTATGGAGAGTCCCCACAATTCACAAAAACAAACCTGTGTGTGTGTGTGTGTGTGTGTGTGTGTGTGTGTGTAAACAATAAACAGCACAAAATCCTAAACATTTTCAAAAATAGAATTCAAGATCCATTTATTGTTGATTGGGACAAGCAATATTTCAGGGCTTTATAAGAATGACTAACATGCTTCCATCATTGTGCTTGAGAATGACTTTTGAATTTATTCTGGCTCTGCTTGTCTGTGATTATGAGGTCTAAGGTAAGCAAGCATACAGTAAATAAAGACCAATGTATAGTTCAATACCTTTTCTTGTTTTCAACAATAATTAATTGTGGTAAACGGGAATTATACGCAAGCCACCCTGATACTCCAGAAGCATAGATGGAGAAGTGAGATTGTAAGAGCACTCATACACAACCGCATTAGGTAAATCATTCAACGTCTCTCCTGATATTGCTGTACTTGAATTGTACCAACGAGAGAAAGTCTCTGTTTTGAATGCAAACCTGTTTGATGAAAAAGTACTTTCTTTATATCTTACATCAAAATCTCTATAACTTGGCTGAGTCAAGAATATATCTACAGCAGCCATGAGGGTGCTCAGGGGAACAAGATCAGTTTTACCACGAGCAGTGTGATTTATTGCAAGGTCATAATCTCCACCATCAATATATGTATAGTTTGAATTAATTTCTAGCAAAGAATACATACGGTCAAGTTCTCCCTCCACGGTCAGCAGGTCATTAATGTCAAACCACAACTTGGAATATCTAAAACCAATGCATCCATTTCCAGTGGTCTTCAGATTGGATTTCAGACCATCAGCTTTCACATAGATGTTAGCTTCATTATCTAGTGTTCCCTTAATTGTGACACCATCCGGGGATGTAGAATTGGAGGTTATTTGGCTTACAGACTCAAAGGTGATATAGGAAAGAGTTGCATCCAGCTTTAAGGTATTCTTAGCATCTCCATGTCCAGCAGCCGCTGAGTCTGACTGATCGAAGGTGTACTTGATTGTCAAGTTTGATTCTGCCTTTGGATGGGCTTTGGTGTCAGCAGAAAGCTGATGAGCGGCATTAACAGTGAAGCTTGTTGTATGAATCTTAGCAACTGTGTCCACAGATAATACAGCCTCAAAGTTGTCTTCCAGAGTCATGGTGCTGTTATGATTACCCTCAATGTGAGCATTCTCCAAAGACAAAGAAGAGGCCAGTTTCAGTCCACTTATTGTGGTCAGGCTAGTGGATCCATCAAGCTTGGAATTCAATTCCTGAAACACAGAGGCAGTTGTGGCACTAACATGCATCAAGCAATCCTTCGGATAAACACCTGTATTAGCACTGAGGTTGAGAATAGACGACTTGAAAGACACCTCAGAGACCAGGTTGCCCAGTAAAGGAGCAAACCCACTCTTCTGGTAGACAAGTTTGGCATTTAGATCAATGGGTTGGTCATGATTCAGTTTCAGCTTTTTGACTGCTTGAATCTTGAAAATGGCTGGCACGAACATTTCTGCAGCATTTAAGAACTCAAAGCTGGCCACACTATTCACAACAGTGTGAATACCCATCTCTGCTTCGTTATTGTTAGCTGTGAAGTTATGGCTGTAGTTGAAATGGTTGAAAGAGGCAACTGCCACAGTGCTAAATTCTTGTAGGTCAGGGTTGAAGATAAAAGTGTAGTCATTCTGGAGATCAACAGTGGTTAACAAAGACTCATAGAGTTTGATCTTGGCATTACCCTTGTTCTGAAAGTGAATATCAACCGCACAAGGACAAGTCATGATGTTTGCAGTGTTAGAGAGGACACCGCTGACAGGTCCAACAAGCTCGGTGTCATGGGCTGCACTGATTTCTATACTCAAATCACTGAAGCAAGCCTTTCCAGAAGCAACCAGCAAACTGTTCTTGATAAATGGCGACTCTGTTTCAACACGAGCATTGAATTCAATGTGGCTTAGAGCAACAGCATCAGCATTCACCTTCATTTTCATCTGCAAATGTGCGCTGTCAGTGCGGCCTGTGAAAGTCAGCTTGGCGGTGCTAAGGCCCATGTTAAAATGCAGGTCACTCTTATGGGTGCCTTCCTCAGAGAAGTCTTCAAGAGTAAATTTGCTAGATCCTTCATTTTTAACTGTCAGGGTGATTGCAGCACCATCCTGGAAAGCTATAGTGTTCTGAATCAGGGTGACTTCACCAGACAAAGACTGTGAGGGGATTTTCACCTGGTGCTTGTATAAAGTTTCAAGAGAGAAAGATGAAGAATTAACATTGTTAGAGGCAGATCCATTCAGAGTCGATGATGCCTGTTGGTCTAAAGTCAAATAAACGTGTGTTAACTTGAGAGTTTCAGACACTGTTACAGGACTCATCTTAGGCATAGATATCTGTGCAGTGGAATCTAGATTGTAATTCAGAATGTTATGTTTCGGAGATGTTCCTTTAGAGTAAATAAAAGCCGTGAACAGAGGGTGTCTCTCTGAGGCGTTCTTGAACTCTGCAGAGGTTCTGACGTTGTATACAGGGCTGCTGAATCTGAACTCACCATACAGCTTTCCAAAAGATGGCACTAGAAGGGCTGTTGAAACTGAAGGAATCTGAAGAGGACTGTCAGGTTTGTTGTTCTCAGCATTGGCAGGACGGAAGATCTCATTCAGCTTTGTGTAACTTTGGGTGGTGATCGAGCTAAGAAGTATTTTAACATCCTCAATGATGGAAAATATCAAAGTACTAATGTGCTTTGGTACTACATTTTCAACCAGCATACCCTTCACAGTCAATTCCAGTGCCTCACTGAAACGGTTGCCTATATCACTCACTAGTTTCGCAAAGGCACCGATTCGAGAGGACACCAGATTTTCCAGCTTTAATGCAAACTCCTGGGATAGAGATATCAAGGTACGTTTCAGCTGGACAGCTCTTCTCTCAAAGTTCAAATTAGACACAAAGTCACTAACATGCTGAGATAAGTTTTGAATTTTGGAAGCAATCCCTTCTTTGTTGATGTAATTCCTCAGGGTCTCGCCCATGCTTACAAGTGTTATTCTGATGTTGTCAGGAACTAGAAGCAAACCATCAAGGAAAGGCAAGCTAATTAAATGTCTGTCATTGCTTTTGCCATACTTTAGGAAGCCAGAAACCGCAAAGTCCTGATAAGCAGTATTGGCAGTGTTGAACAAATTGGTGTGCACTGTTCCAGACCCTTCCAGCCCAAACTGTGCTGGAGTATTGTAACCGCTTATTTCCTGATTGATGGTGTTGTTGTTCACGTCAGCTTTAACAGTCACTTTAGTCTTTTGTTCAGATGGGATCAGCTGAGTGTCAGACTTGCTCTCAAAATGGGATTTGATGTTGACACTGTCTATGTCAAGGAGCGTTGAGATCTTGAATTCATGAGAATGAGCAATCGATTGTGGTTCTACTTTCAGGAGGACTTTTGCATGAAACTCACAATTACTGTGTCCATACAGGTATATGTCATTATCACCATTAGCAGAGGCATCAAAATTGAAACTGAATGGAATAGTTGTACCGTAAGTGTTGGTTTCAACATTAAACACCATGGAGTTGAAATGTACACGATTCTTGATTCTGCCAGAAAGTCCAGCCATCTGCAGTTCAGTGTTGTGGTTAATGCGTGTTCCCATGATATTTCCAATTGTTTTGCATTTAGCAGTGGCAGATAGATTTTTGTAGTTGATCTCAAAGGTCTGCTTAACCTCCTCCATAGTAAAGGCGCTTTGCAGTGAGGTTGTGCCACTGGTGGTCAGGCCATCCATATTGAGGTTCAGATTGGCTTTGTGTGCAGCTGTGTGTCCCATAAGTTTAGCAGAGGCATCACTGTGAATAGTTAGACCATTGATGTCCAATACTCCTGCGACCAGGGAATGGATACGTTCTTCAGAGATGTCAGTAGAGGTCTCAATCTTAACACTGACTGCTTCAGCACCAGCTCTGGTCTCAGCCATGTTTTGGATCTTCAGGCCAAAAGCCTGTGTTTTTGTATGAGTATTTAGAGCAAGCTGAAATTCCTTGAAGGTGATGTTAGCAGTGTTTGTTAGATGGTCATCAAATGCTGCAGTGTTGGATAGAATTATCAGTCCTCCATTGGCAAAAGCTAAAGCAAAGGAGTTTCGAGCTTGAAGAAGTGTTGAGTCTACTTTCAATGAAGAATCAATCTTTGCCTCTTGTCTGGATGGGAGTAGAGAGACTGACTGTGTAAGGATTCCTGAACCATTGACTGAACCAGCCTCGAAGGATCCTTCCAGGTTTCCATCTCCAGAGATCTCCTCGTCATCAACTTCAAAAGTTCCATTATGCTCCAGCGAAATTTGCACTCCAAAAAGGCTAATTACGTCAAGCTTGCTTTTGGATTTCACACTGAGTTTTTCAGCAAGCTTTACTTCCTCCTCAACTCTGATGGTGGCATCAATAATCTTGTGGTGAACCACTGTTTTTACTTTTGTCATTAGAGAATTGCCAGGTGTGGGCTCAACAAGAGCAGATCCTGTGCAATAAATGAAAATGAATCAATCAATAAGCAATCATTCAAATCAAGTGCATACAATGCATGTTTTTTTACCTTCAACCTTTAGGGATAGGAGGTCAACAGGACTTGTTCCGGTAACTTCAACCTTAGCAGAATAACGTAGGTCTGCAGAAGGATCTCTGGCAGCAGACACAGCTGTTTCTAAGTTGTAGAAGTTGCTGCTTAGTTTTCCGGACATTTCTGTAATTTCAAGAGTCGGCACAGACAGCGACACACTCACAGGAATGGAGACCTCTGGAAGATTAATGCTAGTAGCTTCAAATTCCAGATCAAGATGAGGTATAATCAGATTTGGGGTGGAGATAGTCGTCAGAAAGTTTAGATCTCTAGTGGATTTTCCACCCAAGGGCAAGGGAAGAGTGATGGTATAGTAAGGATGGCCAAAGAGATATTTAGCAGCAACCTCTCTGTTTAAAAACATGTAATGTAAATTTTAACTACAGTTTAACCATTGCGTATTATGTGCAGAAAGTTCACCATACTAGAGACATTAACTCACACATTCAGGAACAGTCTTTCAGGAATAGCGAACACAGGCAAAGCAGGAACGCCCAAATACTGCACAATTGGAATATCAACAATGTACATTTATTTCATTTTAATTTAATTAAAAACATTTCCTTTGTCAAAAGCTGATGAAAAAATCAATTGAGGTAAGTTCATTATCTTACCGCAGCTGACTTTGCCAGGATATCACGGACTTTCTTTTCATTCTGGGCAATCTGGCCATCAAGAAGGCTATTGACAATGGTTTCAATAGCATTGATGTTGGGAATGATTCTTTGAATCTCAGAATTGACATGAGACTTTAATTCAGCCTCAATCTTCTCATTCTCTGAGATTGAAGAGATATTTGATAGGCTCAAAATCGTGTAGTAAATAATTTGCTAAAATTTTCTATTCATCATATTACAGAAATAATTTTTGGACACGTACCCAGTTTCAGGATGAGTGTTTGAACAGAAGTCGTCTCAGGGAGTTTTAGGTCACTCTCAAGTTCCAACGTCAACTTCTCATCATGCTTTAGTTTTGCAGAAACTTTAGAATAAAGCTGAAGAGGGGCAATGAGCAACTCTGATGATACAGTGTGTTGCTTTCTGTTTAACATCACTGTATTTGTGGCCTCAAAGGGTGTTCCTGATAGTAATCAAATGAAAAAAGACAGTTATTTTAAAGGCATATTTTCTTTTTCCAGGTGTGTACAAGTAAATAATTAGTAAGCTTAGTAGTCTTGTACCTTCAGCCTTTATGCTAAATGTGACTTTGTCTGAATCATCCTCATAGGCGTAGTTGATGGTGGCAGTATACTCTGTGACCTCTACCGATGGGTAGAGCGTAACAGTAAATCTAAACACAGATGCAGTGTGGATGAAAAATATTGTCCTAGAAATAATAGGATTTAAATATCAGTATGTAGATGATTTTCTATTACTTGGTATCACTATTGAGAGGAAAATAAGGGGCGGCATCATCAGGATACTTAAGGACTGTACAGTGCTTCCATCCAGGGAAAACAGGAGCACATACTTCCGCATTAATATACTCGCCATTGGCATGAATGGGCAAAATCTTGGCACCAACAACAGACACCAGAGAACTGCTATATATGGGGAACAATAACAATTAATGTAAAATAATTATTTGACTTGTTTTAATGTTAGTTTCTTTTTCTGCATTTCAAGTCAAGATGTCTTACGTCACACTGATGAGCTCAGTTGGCTCACGAGGAGCTGGAATGGAAAGCTTGAGCTGGTTGTTGGTCACAGAGAGCTTTGCTCTGAAGCCACTCTCATGATAGATGTTAGTGTGCATCTCCAGACCGGAGAGAACGTAGTCTGGGAAGTGAGTCCCAATCTCAGTCACAAACTCAATGCCAGCAGAAAGCGCGAATGCAAATTCCTTCTGTGGTGTAGTCATATTCATTTATTTTAGTATAATAGCAGAAATGAAAGATAAATATTGATAGTAACACATGCATGACTAAAGTGTGTTGGACTCACCATGCCTGGACTAAACCTCAATCCTCCTTTGATTCCAGGTGTAAAGGTACCAGACAGAGCAACTCTCAATGGAAAGCCAGCACCGGTGGGCAGATAGAACTCATTATCCATGAAGATGTAGTGAAGGAAAAGCTCGTTGTCGACACTTGAGAGCAGTCTTTTAGCAAACTATTTCAAAAATATAATTCAGATGACCGTTTAAGTAAATGCATTCATAAATGTGGTTGGAAAAGCTGTACTCACATCAGTGGGGATCATCTTAAGGAGATTGTGAATCATCTTGCCATCTTTTGCATCAAGATAGCCAAGTTCAGCACCCAGAAGCTTGAGGTACACCATCGCTTCAGGGGTATCCTGGGCCTTCAAGTCCTCAATAAGCTTGTTGACATTATCACTGATTTCTTTGACTATGTTTTGAATAGCCTACAGCACACAGAAAATTGAGATTGGAATCCTGCTATGAAGAAATATGTCCATTTGCTAATTTTACTACATTTAATACCTGTCTCTTTTTCCTTTCATTCCTCATGATTGGCAGCATGTTGTCCAAGACCTCGATGAGTTGGGCGGGCATATTGTCGGTAGCGTATAAAGTGGTCTTCATGACAGTGTCTGGGAAGAATCCATCATCACCAAAGAGGGCCTCCACAATAGGCTCAAAGCCCTTACCCTCCATGCCAATCTGAAAGCAAGAATAAAACCATTGCATTCATACCTAACACATCAAGTAAATGTCAGACTTTTATTGGACTCTGTACCTCAATGAAGTCCATATCAAATCCAAAAGCATTCAAGGTCATCTCCAGCATGACCTCCCTTGGCAGTTCGTTGGGAGATTCAAAGATCATATTTCCCTCTAAAGATCCAAGTCTATAGTATCGAGAGAGTTTGGTGGGTTCCATGATCATTCCAATTTCATTGCCTTGAAAGGCCTCTTGAACCTTCCACCTCAGGCTAGGGAGTAAAAATAACAAGATTACATTTTCTTCTGAAAATTTGATTGATAAGTTATTCACATTCTCTTCCATACTTACTCCTGAGTCTCTGGTGCTGTAGAGCTCAAGATGTTGGTGATATGAGAGATGATGAAGCTCTTGGCCTGGCGGTTTTCCTCAACATGGACAGCTGCTGCCAATTGAGCAAGTTCAGCAGGGGTAGGGTTCTTCATCAAGATGAGGTAGGCGGCAACACGCTTCTGTACAGATGCATCTCTGTCTAGAACAGCATGCATGAGCACCTCACGACCCTTTAAAAGGCATGAAATGATCTTTAGACTGACTTCAGGATAGCCAAGAGCTGTGGGCATATTTAACAGCTCACCTCCTCAGGTACAAGAATCTGTCTGTAGACCTGGATGGCAGCATGCTGAACTGAAGGGGAGGCAGTCGGCTGGTTGATGCATTGAATAACAGCAGAATGCAAAGCAGGGCGCGCAGCTCCCAGTGCAACCACCATGTTGCCAATGACCTGGAAGATGATGCTTAGCTGTAGAGTCTGAAGATTAATTTATCAGCATGTAGGAATTTGTGTGAACATACCCTTAGAGAAAGAAAGACGTGTTCCTGGTCACCTGTGCAATCACCAATCTGTTCAAGGGCATAATCAGCCACTGCTTGGATCTCATTGGTGACTCCATCGGTCTCATAGAGCCTTAGGTCACACAGAGAACACAAGATGTTCTTTTGATGAAATAGTGACAATGCTACATCTATGTACAAAACACACTTATGCAAAACATGGATGAGAGTCAGTGGGACAAATCTGAGATTTGTCTGAAAATGTCTTTTCACACGGTTGCAAATTAAGGTGCACTACATTTATGTATTTGACAGACGCTTTTTTATCCATTGCACTCAAGATTTACTTTTTATCAGTTTATGCATTCCCTGGGAATTGAACCCAAGACTTTGGAACCATCCTCTACTTTCTGAGCTACACAGAACTACCAATTGATAAAATTCAACTCATATGTTAGTTGATTTACTTTTACCTTAATCTAAAGACGTGTTCCTTACCTTCTCACAGCTTGGCTGAGAGCATAGTAGATGGGTTTGGTCGGCTTGAACTTTGCCATCGCCAACATTTCCTTCACAAGGACTCGCGAGGACTGGGGTATCATTCCCATGCCATATACAGCAGCGTCAATCTCAAATGAGGACCTGTCAAAGGTCCTGAAAATCTGCATGATAGCACTGTTGCATTCTGGGGTGCCGCATTGTAGCAAAGCCTGGTACGTCAAAAACCGAGAAATCTCCAGGGCCTCAGGAACAGTGGCTGTCAAGGTTTCAGCTTCCATCTTGCGGATCACAGCTACAAGCTTGTGGGCCAAGTGGGCTCTCTTGCGTCCATCGTTGGTCTTGGAAAGGCCCGAAAGTTCCCTCAGAACAGCAAGAGCGGCGTCTTTATCCTGGATGGGGCTCATGTCAACACTGCGGTCAAGATGGAGGGGTTTCATATTGGCCACATCTGGAGGCATAACAGCACATTTTGCATTTTGTTTGACATTGCAAGCAAGTTATGAACATTGACGCCAAAAATCGTTATCTTACTGTGTTCAAAGACTCTGTCATTGTACTCAGCAACTCCTAAAAGAGTCAAGGCCTGTTTACCAGTATTGGTCACTCCATATCTTCCCCTAGTCATAGCCATAGAGACAAACATCAGAAGTGCATGACCATCCAGCTATGTTGAAAAAAATCATGCAATTAACATTTATGCATGTGGCAGACGCTTTTATCCAAAGCATCTACCATTGCATTCTGGGTGTGCATGTTACCAATTCATGCATTCCCTGGGAATCAAACCCATGCTCAACACTTTGAGCTACAGAAAAGTTATTTATTTCACTTACTTGTATGAGAAAGGCACAAGAACATGTTTTTCAGTGCAACTTCCAGAGGTCATGTGGTGCTGCTCATTGTCAAACTTGTAGTTGCAGGTCTGGTTGCTCCAGATCAGCTGAGCAAGAGGATGGTGCTTTGGAAGAGAGAAAGAAAAACATTGGAGATCTCACTCCACTCGTCTCAACTGGAATTTTACACAAAACTTAAACCTAAGTCTCAGAATTCACCAAGCCAGTGATGAGGGCCAAGGGACTGGTGTGGTCCTTTAAAAATTAATTTATTTAACTTATTATTTAGTTTAAAATGGCTTGTTCTGTTCTCTACAATGAAAGGTTTTGAGCGCCGCACCAGAATACATGAAGATATAATAGATGATTATAATAATCACTGAATACTAAGGAAGTGCAAAAGGACGTAAGCCTTCAAATCTTGTAGTCACAGCAAGATTAGGTAAACACATTTATCCAATCTATAAAGAAAAAAAGAATCTAAAACAACAGTGAGGAATCGATTCCAGAGTTGACTCCAGAACCAGGAATCAGAATCAATTAAAAATTTCGGAATCGAACAGCCCTAAATTAACAATAAAAAGCCAGTCAGAATCAGACTTTAAAGAGCTTGTGCATTTAAAGGCACAATATGTAAGATTTTTTTATTAAAATATCCGAAAACCACTAGAACAGTGTTATATATTTTGCTGACTTGTGTACTTACATTATCCCAAATGTTTCGAAGAATGTTTAAATCCAGAGAAATAAGCAATTTTAACTAGTGACACGGAGCGTGTCTATAGTGTCATTGTGTCGCCAGCGGCCTCATTTCGCTTCGACGGCTTTCAGCCTCACCCTGCTTCATTCTACTACGTTAATAAATCATTAGCTCATCCATGAACATGATTTCTGCCCGAGTCCCGTCGGATTGCATCGGCTGTGGGGATGAAGACCACAACTCCCATGATTCCACACTCAGTCACACCCTCATCAAACTATGCCTTTGTTTCTTTGTTTATTTTGAATACGCGCCCTCTAGTGGTGAAAATTACATATTGTGCCTTTAAAGTGGCAGACTAAAACTGCAGTGCACCCTTATAATAAACGGAACGTTATCGACTGCCGACATGGATGCTAGTATTGTTATAGTTATTGTTCTTGGTGTGAACGGGCCTTTACTTCTCCATGGCGGTTTTGAAGTCCTCGGTGCCAGCAGCAGCTCCAAACACTGGGTTTCCATCTGCATTGACGCCAATCGCTTCTCTCAGCTTGCATTCGGTGGTGCGCAAGATGTAGCTGCATGTACCAGGAACTGCAATCTCAACCTAATGCGATATTCACACTGCATTGTTGACAAAACAGCAGTAACTTTAGTGTTTGATGTAGGGAAATGAGCTCATACTGTACCTTGCAGCTGGCCTCGGGGCCATTGACCGCCTCATTCAAAGCATTCAAGGACTCTGTCTTATAGAAGTATTCATACTTGTTGAAGGGTTTGTATCTTTTGGCCACTAGAAACAGCAGATCAATTCATTAAAACATTATTTAGTGCATAAATACATGCTGACATTTAATACTGAATTTAGATCATTACAGCTGTAGGTTTGCATGTAGATTCTGCAGAATAATTTCAAGAGACATACTCAAGCATGGTGGTCCTTCATCCTGCGCGTCTGTAATACAAAATAAAAAATGCATGTCATTACACTGTAATCTGGGCTGAAAACGTCCAAAATGTGAATCTGTATTAGTTAAAGTTCTTTTTTGCAATGGCATTGGGGTGAGAAAAGTAAAATTCATGCATAAATGGTCTAATTTCATATGAATCTAATAATAATAATAATAAAAAAATAGCAACTTTTATGGACTTTTGACCCTATGTCTATACAAATTCCACTATTAATACAATGACCACCTATGTCTTATTTTATTTTAATGTATGCATTTCTATAAATTGGATCTGATTATTTGTATGTTCGGAAATATTCTTCTTGACATGAGATCTGTACAAAATTATATTTTGAGTTTATATTGATTATTCAGATTTTTGTTATATTGAAAACTAATAAATAAAACATTTATAATAAATAAATGAACTAAAAAATATTTTTTTAACTGAAAAACTAAATTTTTCATACCCCATTGGCAGATTTATTGTATTTTTATTTTTTTTCAGGATAAAACTCCTTATGTCATTTTGCATCTTAAATAAATGTATCTTGATTTAAGAATGTTTAGATATTTGTACTGGGAAAAAAGACAAAAATACTGAGGAAGAAAAGCACTTTTGCAGTGCAAAGAAAATTATATATTAACTTTGCAACATTCACACTGAACTGAATCCACATTTGAACTGAATTGAGCTGTCTAATTACAGCATTAACACTGTTATTGAAAATATCTGTATTGTACAAAGCACTATCAAAATAAATGTGACTTGACTATACTTACTTGACAAGGCGACGGTGCTCAAAAGCAGTAAAAGACGGAGCTTATTGTCACCCATGATGCTTCAGTACAGCTTTCAGATTTCTGATCAGGAGATTTATAGCAAACCAAACTCACGTGTTAAAATTTCAGCCCCCGACTCCAAAGTTCATACAAACGCTGTGACAGAATAAAGCTAATAGAGTTTGACATTGATTTTCCGAAGAAGAAAAAAAAAGATAGCACAAACAGATTTAAACATTAGAGCAGACAAACAGCCACACCTTTCAATATTTTACATTTTGAATGAACACAAATAGATGTTAGGAGATGTTAAATATCTGCACACTTACATGGTTCGCAGCATTTATGAGCAAAAAAGTCATGGTTTATAATTATTCTACGCTATTCGTCTCAATCACGGTATCAATAAATATTGCATAATGCAATTTCCCAATCTTGCTCAATCTATAACTTCAGATCTGGACTCAGCAAAATTAGTTTTGACTAAACAAGGACTTTGTGAAAAACACAATCAGGGGGTGTCGAGATGAACCTGCAGAAAATACTCATATACCGATCTTATAACTGATGCAAGGACAAAACTACATGAAAAACAGAGAGACGTATGAATGTGGATTATATTTTGGTAGATAGAATACATTGCACACCATTACATTCAGATGTGTTCAATCCCTAAAATCTGGCTGTGATTTTGATGGCCTGTAGACAGAATCTGACATGACATAACCCTGAGAGTAGCTGAAAACTACTGCTATTCATATATTTTATTAAACTAATCTGCACAAGTGAGCACAGCGGCAGGACTCTGAACTCTTTACACTGACCTGAATTCATTTTTAACTACACTTCTACACACCGCTATTGATTTCTGTTGAGCTTCTGTTTGGGTGCATTAAAAAAAGTTGCAATTATGAGAAATAAGTCGCAGTTTCCAGCTCAGGGTTTCTATAGATTGCTGCTTCTCGTGTCAAATCTTGACTGATTATAATCAAGTAATCGTCAGAATAACTGCAGTAATATCTCCAGATGAACACTTACTGGACTGAAGCAGCTCAGCTTTACTTGATTCTCCATCAATCATGTTTTAGAGTCTCAAATCTGATCCTCAGGATCTTTTGAGGAGCGTTTGTTTCCAGAAGCTTTACTTTCACTGTTCCTCAGCGGAGGAATGATCTTCACAAGCCTCCAGAACATCTCACATCTTCACATTTTGTGTCAGAATCTGCTGCGCTGTTATAAAGATCTCACTGATTTACATCACACTCTTAAAAATAAAGGCTCCAAAAAGGTGTTTTTGCAGTGATGCCATAGAAGAACAATTTTTGGCTCCACAAAGAACCTTTCAGTGATCAGTTCTTCAGAGAACCATTAACGTCAATAAAGAACCTTTATTTGTGCAGGACACCAATGCTGGCAAAACCGGCACTTAAAACCAATGGAGACGCTCCATAGCATAATGTAAACAGAAGCCTTTGTCATGGTGATGCAATGACTTGTTATAAGACACTAACAATTAACCATTCAACAGCAAGCACAGAGGGTCTGCTGCACCCCTGTCCCACTAATCATCTGCTCTGGGTCATTAATAAACGAACAGTAATCCAAGATTCATAACAATGACCAGCATGTGCACCAGAGATCATGGGAAATTAATCCCAACATTCATTTATTTCAGGATTTCCCCCTTCACCCTCCTCTCAAGCTCAAGAACCCCCTGATGCCATGTATCAGGCAGATGGTCGGTAAAGCTGCAGGATATGGGGTGTTTTTGGGGCGGCTTACAAACAATCACAGAATTCAAGATGTCATGAAATCCACACTATATTCTAAATGCATGTTGTAGAGCGTATTGTGAACGATTCATCTGTGCATATGTTTCAGAATTTTTTATCAAAATGTCGTAACAGGACCTTCTGGTGAAAGACGTCATCAGAATATGGAAGTAAAGATCTGCTGCTACTTCCGTTTCATCGCAACTTTAAAGGGGTCATATGATGCGATTTCAAGTTTTCCTATCTCTTTGGAGTGTTACAAGCTGATTGTGCATAGATAAGATCCCTGAAGTTGCAAAGACTAAAGTCTCAAAACCAAAGAGATATTCTTTATCAAAGTTAAGACTCTGCCACGCCCCCCTAAAACGGCTCGTTCTAACACGCCCCCACATATCTACCTCACTATGTGGAAATATTTGCATAATGCGCCCAAATGTGCACGCAAAGAAAGAAGGCATGGTTTCAGTAACCGCAGTTAGTGTTGAAGCAACCATGTCAGGGAGACGCTGTGTGTTTAAGTGCGAAAGCAAAAGCACTTTATTTGGCCTTCCGAAAGTAGATGCATTTAGGAATCTTTAAGATCACTTACAACAGAACAGCAATGCATTTTATGGACAACCGTTTCGTGAACCTAGGAGAGGAGGTAATGCGGAGTTTTGCGCATCGTGTGTGTGTGCGCGCGCGCGCGCGCGAGCGAGAGAGAGAGAGAGCTTCTTTTACAGTGGGCTACTGGACTGACTGACTGAGTCTGCAGTAACTCACAGTGAAACCTGACTCTCAGAAACGCTCGGCGGGAAATGCATCAAAGCCGAACATAAATAGCAATCAGAGCACAAGTAAACCAATCAGAAGCTTTGTTACTGAATATGCAGCAATCAATTAGTGGATGGATTTCCGTCCATTTTAACAAAGTGAATCAAGGCACTTCTTACAGCATGTTATGGACAATTTGCAGTTTGTTTTACGCAAATGAATCCCAGACCTGCTCTGGCAGGACAGACATTCAACGAGCTGAAACTCCTTCTCCAGCAGAGATCTGCGATAGATATTACATCGGTGCTACAGATTTCAGAGCAGTTAACATAAATTAGGAGTTTCATGCTTGACAGAAGTAAGTACAGCAAAGGGCAAAGTTAAAAAGTGGTGCTAAAAACTGATTACTGATGAAAGGGCATAAACAAATGCATAAATACGTAAACAAAATGCTGTTTACAACACATCCTTCCACATATCTTTCAATTCAGACTGTATTACAAATGGGTTTGATATTTTGTGAAAAAGTGCAGGTTTTAGAACGACACAAGCTAATCAAATGATGTAACAATGCATCCATTGCTTAACCCTTTAAAGCCTGTACAGAATAATATTTGATGCAGAAATATTTAATGCGCAAAACAGCTTCTAAGTGATCAACATGATCAAAACTTTGGTGAAAAACCACACAACCTATTGATTAATACTTTAGACTTTTTTTATCAAGTCAAAGCTCTTTTAGTGTAATGGCTTCAGCTGGAGCTTCTCGTGTCAGATCTTGACTGGTTTTTCTCAAGTAAAGGTCAGAATAACTGCAGTAATATCTCCAGATGAACACTTACTGGACTGAAGCAGCTCAGCTTTACTTGATTCTCCATCAATCATGTTTTAGAGTCTCAAATCTGATCCTCAGGATCTTTTGAGGAGCGTTTGTTTCCAGAAGCTTTACTTTCACTGTTCCTCAGCGGAGGAATGATCTTCACAAGCCTCCAGAACATCTCACATCTTCTGAGGAGCCTTTATTTCTTCAGCTCTCAATCACTGCATTATATGTTTGGAGCATTTACATCTCAGCTTACTGAGACTGATTATTGGAGATATAGAGCGACCACTGATATTTAGAGCATTTTATGTCAGTATCTGATATAAAGATCTCATTGATTTACATTACAAGCAGCATCAGAAATATCAGCATCTGCACCAAATTCATATTTTTGCTCAGTTTGAGTCTCTGAATAAAACTGAGCTGTTTTCCTTCATATTATCACTATATCAGACTATATGAGCCATAAAAGCCTGATTGATCAAATATGATGTTTTGAAGTTCATTGCATGTCTTCTTTCCCCTCAGGCTTTCTGATTGAACTCGTTCCCATGATTCTTTGCAGCAGAGCAGCTTTCTTCTTTCTTCTCTCCCGTGAAGAACATGCAACATTGTGCTGAGGCTCCGGTCGAGGGGCGGAGTGTGTGTGTGTGTGTGTGTCTTTGTCTAGAGTTACAGAGCTTCATCTGTCCAGAGGCGTATGGGTGGAGAGACAAATATGTGCCTGTTTTCCTTCATATTATCACTATATCAGACTATATGAGCCATAAAAGCCTGATTGATCAAATATGATGTTTTGAAGTTCATTGCATGTCTTCTTTCCCCTCAGGCTTTCTGATTGAACTCGTTCCCATGATTCTTTGCAGCAGAGCAGCTTTCTTCTTTCTTCTCTCCCATGAAGAACATGCAACATTGTGCTGAGGCTCCGGTCGAGGGGCGGAGTGTGTGTGTGTGTGTGTGTGTCTTTGTCTAGAGTTACAGAGCTTCATCTGTCCAGAGGCGTATGGGTGGAGAGACTCTCAAATATGTGCGTGTTCAGATCTCAGACGCTCACAGTGGCGTGGAGAAGATGTTTATCAGCGCTGGACGTTGTACCCGAAGCCTTTCTGAGTGTCTGAACGCATGCAGACGGAGAGAAGAACGACAGAAGTGAATAAAACAAACATGGAGAGCAGAAGATCGAGGAGCACAGGGTGAGAGAGGTGAACAAAACCGGTTACACTTTACAATAAGAGTCCTATTAGTTATTGTTAGTGAATGCATTAACTAACAATGAGCAGTGAGTGTAAGGTGGACTGAAAACATAACTGCTGTAGGATTTCCTTTGAACTTTCACATTTAGTTTCACAAACAATTACAAAGAAACAGCAAGTAACATTGAATTAAATGTGAAGTAGAAATATTGAAATTGTATTTTTCTGTTAAATGTACTCCAATAATCTTTGTTTTATTAACTTATATATATATATATATATATATATATATATAATTTAAAAAAAAGAATTATAAAAATACAACTGTTCATTGTTAGTTTATTTCAGTTACATTAAATAATATTAACAGATACAAGTTCAGATTTTTTAAATATTAGTAAATGTTGAAATTAACATTAATGAATTCTTTAGAAGTATTTTCATTGTTAGTTCATGTTAACTCATTTTAACAAATGAAACCTTTTTGTAAAGTGTTAACTGTCACAATATATTCAAAAAAAATGTTTACGGGAAAATATACAAATTCTTGAAATACAATAGTGTATAAAATAATCATGTGTTAATGTCTATTTTTGATTATTCACTGAATGGAAAACTCATTTGATCATTTGGCTCTTTTTATTGAGATCTTGATGGAATCGAATTAAAAGATCAGATGATTCATATCAAATCAGTCTGAATCAGTTTCACATTATGAAAAATCTCAAGACTTAAAACTAATATTGGAAAAATATAGACTAAATTACAACACTTAATGCAAAAGGATAAGATGTTGTTCAGCAGTTTTTATAAAATAATTAAGATAATTAAATTAAAGCTTTATTTACATAGACGAGGAGCGCACTGCATTAAAATAACTAAATAACAATTATAAATATTTAATTAAAATTAAATAATTAAATTACAACTTTTTATTTACATGAACTAGGCGTGGCGCTATATTAAAATAATTCAATACAAATTTAAAATAATTCAATAAAATAAAATAATTAAATCAAAATGATAAATAATTAAATTCCATGTTAAATGTCCATTAGTGTTTGCAGTATTTATCATTAATGAATTTATGTGGATTTTATAGTGATTAAAGGGATTGTAAATTTCCCTAAACTCCTAAAGGGACAAATATCCCTGAACTCTGGTAGAAAATGATATACATTATGAAGACTTTCTCGGCTTTTTAAGGTTTTGTTAATTTCAATGACTTTCACAGGCCTATTTTATCATTGATTTATCAGGTTCTCCAACCCTGGTTCTTAAAAATCTGCTGCTAGCTGTCTGAATATATGTCATGCATTATAAAATGTGAAGCAGAATCTGTTTATTCTGTCGTTAAGTATGGAGGCAGGCTTCTAGCTGAATGCACGGACTGAAGGGTGAGATGAATCTGCTGCGCAGCTGCAGGAAGAGGACGAGTGCGTGTCGTCTGCTGCTGCGCATGTGTCTGCTGCTGTCTCTGCTCTGCGTCTGCGCTCACGTCTACATACAGCTCGAGGGTCTGCGTCTCCAGAAACAGAGCCAGCATCACAGGACCGTCGCCACGGCAACAGATGCTGCAGCTGATGCTGGATCCACCTGCTGCTTAGCACTGAATCATCACAGACGGGTGAGTGAGAGTCGGTCATCTTCTGTGCATCAAATACTGCATTCACACTGATAATCTAACTCCTCCAGCAATCTAAGGCCTTCAGTCTCAAAGACGACATCTGAAGGCTTATCATGATATCTCTGGTACTTCTGCGGTAACAACAAAGCTTTTTTATCTCCATGAACTAGGAGTGGCACTATATTAAACTAAATGAATAAAACCATTATAAATAATTTAATGAATTAAAATAAAATAATGCAATTAAACTTTTTGTTTACATTGAAGTGGCACTCTATTAAAATAATTAAAAATAAAATAATTAAACTTCTTATTTACATAAACTTGAAGTGACAACTATATTAAAACAATTAAATAAAATAATTACAAATAATAAAATGTATTAAAATTAAATAATTAAATTAATTTTACATAAACTAGGAATGGAACTATATTTAATATATATATATATATAAATAATTACATTAATAAATTCAAATAAAACTATTAAATGACTCTTATTTGCACAAACTAGGAGTGGCACTGTTTAAAAATAAATATAATAATAATAATAATAATAATAATAATAAACAAATAATGATAAATAATTAAATTAATTAAATAGAAATAAAAATACATACACTAAATTAAATTAAATGAATTAAAACGAATACAGTTTTTTACATAAACTATGAGTGGCACTATATTAAAATAATATAACAAAAGAATTATAAATAATTAAATTAATTAATTAAAATAAATCTGAATAAAACAATTATAAATAATTAAACTCCATATGTTTTAGTTATTGCCTTTAATTAATATCAATTAATTTACACGACTTTTACAGTTGTTTGTGATTAAAAGGATTTATTTTTACTCACAAAAAGCAATTTAACATAACACGAGTAGATTTTTTTTTTTAATTTCCATGGCTTTTCCAGTTCTAGAAGTATTGTTTTTAAAAATTAGTTCGTGTCAGAAATGCTCTTAAACAAAAGCGTATTCATGCCGTCCTGCTCTTCTGAAGACTTTCACACTCAGGGCCTGACCTCTGACCTCTGACCTCTGACCTCTGTGTCGAAGCACCACATAAAGCTCCCTTGTCAGTGCACTTGGACGATTTACTGAAACTCAACGTCTAAAATGACTCGTACATAAAACATGAGCTCATTAACATAAGCCCGCCCACATTTACACTTCAAAACCTGTTCGGTATTCAGTAACGTGACGCATCCTAATGAATGATGCTCATTTACATACAGGTGTCTTAAAGATACAGCAGCAGAAATATTGACTGATATTATAAAGGGGACAAATAAAATGCTAAAAGCATTGAAAACAGGCAGAAGAGCATCTGATATTTAAATAAACTTCTTGAACACTTCTTGAAAGCAGAGATTCAGCATTTTGAGGGAAGGGTTTATAGTCTCTATTGGAACCATATGAAGGGTGTGATACACATCAACACAGACACAAACATGCAAAACTATCTCAACTATTCAGTGTTTCTGACTGAAAATTAAGACATTTGGATGCATAAAGTTGATCAGGAAAGACATTTATAATGTTACAAAGATTTCTATTTCAAATAAACGCTGTTCTTTTGAACTTTCGATTCATCTGTGAATCCTGAAAAATAAAATGTATCACAGTTTCCACAAAAATATTAACTGTTTTCGACATTGATAATAATCAGAAATGTTTGTTGAGCAGCAAATAAGCATATTATACTGATTTCTGAAGATCATGTGACACTGAAGACTGCAGTAATGATGCTGAAAATACAGCTTTGATCACAGAAATAAATTAAAGCTTAACAGATATTCACATAGAAAACAGCTGTTTTACATTACAAAACTATTTCAGAATTTTAATGTATTTTTGATCAAATAAAAGCAGCCTTGGTGAGCAGAAGAGACTCTTTCAAAAACAATCAGCTTTTGTCTTCTCCAGATGTTAACTGATGGACTGGAGTGCTGTGGATTACTTGTGGATTATTGTGATGTTTTTATCAGCTGTTTGGACTCTCATTCTGACGGCACCCATTCACTGCAGAGCATCCATTGCTGAGACACTGATGCAATGCTGCATTTCTACAAACCTAATGAAGAAACAAACTCATCTACATCTCGGATGGCCTGAGGCTGAGCACATGTTCATAGAAAATGTTCATTTTTGGGTGAACAGTTCCTTTAAGAGCAACGCAGATAGATTCTAAGAATGTGGACTCTTAATGCACATCATAACTGAACAGCAGACAGAGAAGAACTGCGAGAGAAAACATGCTAATATTTATAGTACTGAAGGCACTTGGGAGGATGAAGCATTGCGACTCCAGATGTTGTGCTCATGTTGAACCGGGTTTGTTTGACATTTGTAAGGAGGGACGGAAAAAATGCAGTTCTAATAAAAGCCACAGCGTCATCTGGAATCTGCAGTAAATAGACAGCAGCGGAACCAGTCCTTCCAGCTCTGAAAACAGACTTCCTGAAACAAACCAGCCTCACAGATCAGTCACATTATACTGATAATAGACACTTACTGATGTTCCTGCTGCTGCTTTCCCACCAAAATGATGTCACTTCCTGGAGGACGACAATGATGTCATTGAGGAAAAGCTGTTGGAAGTTACAGGGATTCTACTCAAGGATATAAACTGATTATCAATGTAAGCTATATTCTCAAGAATACATAAAATATTTTAAAAGTTAAAAACTCTGCTCAAGTGCACCGAGGGCAAAAGCTGCTTTAAACGCAAAGGATGCTCACAACAAATGTTGATTTCATTTAGTTAATAGAAGTTAACTGATTAAGAAAATCTATTTATGGCATTATTTTTGGCAGCATCCTCACTTTACAGCATTTTTACACAAGTGCCTAAAACTTTGAACAGTGCGGTAGCTTTGCAGGAGGTTTCTTGAAGCATCAGTTCTTCTGGATTGAGTCTGTCTCAGTTTGTTCTGTTTCTTCATGTCACTCCAGACAGACTGATGATGATCAGATCAGATCTCTGTGTGCAGCACAAACATCTCACTGCATTATTACAATTAATGGCTAAATTAATGTTTGGAAATGTAAACTGATATTTCCTACTGACACACTACAGCAAAAGAGAGAAATAACTGACTTAAAACCATGTTTAGCTGCTGGAAATACTAGTGTCCTAATCATTTTGGCCACCGCTGTAAAATAGAAAATAGAACATTTTTAAAAAGAAAACTAAAAAAATGACAAAAGCACATAAAATTACTAAGATCAAAATGAAAACAGAAAAAAAAAAAAAAAAGAACTTATATAGTCAAAATGTTAATAAAATACTAGAATAAAAACAATCAAACAAAAGATCCACATTTTCACTAATGAATACTTAACTTTACAGAAAGATTAAAATATGTAACAGGAGCACCTTGACGTTTAAAGACGTGGAAATCTTAGATGAGACAAGGTTACATTTGCTAAAAGAAAAATATATTTGTGAGCCTGGAGCACAAAACCAGTCATAAGGGTCAATTTTTCAAAATTGAGATTTATGCATCCTCTGACAGCTGAATAAATAAGCTTTCCATTGATGTATGGTTTGTTAGGATTGGACAATATTTGGCTGAGATACAACTATTTGAAAATCTGGAATCTGAGGATGCAAAAAAATCTAAATATTGAGAAAATCATCTTTAAAGTTGTTCAAATGAAGTTCTTAGCAATGCATATTACTAATCAAAAATTAAGTTTTGATATATTTACGGTAGGAAATTTACTAAATATCTTTACTTAATATCCTAATGATTTTTGGCATAAAAGAGAAATGTATAATTTTGACCCATACAATGTATTGTTGGCTATTGCTACAAATATACCCCAGCGACTTAAGACTGCTTTTGTGCTGCAGGGACACAGATATTGAACAGACATTACTATCCATCACAGCCGCCTCTGAGTAAGTTCACTGCCGTGTTTTGACGAACTGTTTGTGTGTAGGTCTCTAGATGGAAGATCTGGCTGGAGCCGTGGGCCACTGAGACTCGAGGTCTACAGGAGGAAGCGGATCGGTTCCTCAGATACATCTCCACTCCGCAGGTACAAGCCCAGCGTTCAGTTCAGAGTTAATCAGCTGTGATGAATGCTGATCTTCAGTGTGTGTGTGTGTGTGTGTGTGTGAAGCTGTCCTGCCAGAGACCCGCGTCTGTGCCGCCCGTCTTTGACGCAGAGCATCATGGGTCGTGGCTTCTGTGTTTGGACCGCAGGTTCAGTCTGGCACAGCGCATCGTGTCCAAACACTGCCGCGTCTATTCGCTCAGGTCAGTCCCACGCTTCTGCCATTTATTTGTGACACATCCTAAACATTTTAACCTCGGAGTCCGAGCTTTATGCTCTGGGTCAAACTGACCTCAATTTAATTCAACATAACTTGCCAGAAAATAATCACACTATGAAAAGCAAAAACACAGATCAGGTAACTTTATCATTTTTAAATCTTAATTTTGTAACATTAATCGTTCTTAATATTTCATTAATTGCTCATATTAATTTATGTGTGATACATAATAAACATTCTAAAACGGAGAGTTCCGGTGCTTGATTCTGATTGGCTGAGCCAAGATCAAAGCTGTTGTAAATGACTCTACAAAGTAACATACACCTTTGTTTACGTTTGTCTGTTGTTCGGCAACCACTGTTGCGACCACAACTGTTTCTGAGGAGCTACATTGTTTGGTGGAAGAATACTGTTTTTATTAATATCATTACACTTTATTTGCTCTGTTTTATTCTGTGAAACCTTACTACGTATATGGAATAACCGTTTTATAAAAGCAATAATCCCCGTGAAGCCGTGGTTTACAGTGAATTTATAACAGCTAAGGGGTGGCTTCTTGGGGCTTATTGCTTTATTTTAACCTGTATATTATGTTAAAAATGAATACGAGCTTTATGCTTCGGGTCAAACTGAGCTGAATTTGATTCAACATAATTTGCCAGAAAATCACACTTCGAAAAGCAAAAACACAGATCAGATAAAAACAGTAGACCCCTAACTTTTATAAAAAAAATAAAAAAGTTTGTTTAAAAAGAACATTTATTTATCATTACGAATCTTAATTTTGTAACATCAATCATTCTTAATCTTTCATCAATTGTTCATATTAATTTTTGTGTGAAACATTTCAACCTGTATATTATGTTATAAATCTGGGTATGAACTGTATACATGCAGATCAAATTAACTTTTTTGAATTTTATTAGATTTAATATTTCACTAAATTCACCCAAAATCCCACTACGGGTAAAAAAAAGGTAAAAAACAGAACACCTTTTACATTAACAGTTCTTACACATTACACAAAATAAACATGCGAACATATGATTTGTAAAACTGTTTAACAACTAATTTTTTTAACATAAACTGTTATTTTTATAAACATTATTGTAAAAAGTAAAATACTTTTAATATAAACATTTAATTTTTTAACATAAACTGTTAATTTTATAAACAATATTGTAAATAGCTAAATATTTTTACATTTATTTATTTTTTAAACAGAAAAATATTAATTCTACACACTACTCAAATATTTCAATGAGAAACATTTCAGTCAATTGACCTTCTTTAGTTTATTGACGAAAACATTGCTCATTCAAATATTATTGTGTAGGATTAATACTTTTCTAGTTTATATTGTATTTTAATCCCATGAACCCATGATTGATTTGGGTGTGTGAGGCAATGTATGTTTTAATGTTCCTTCCTTTAACCATGAAATTTGGGCAAACATCTTAATTGTAATACAAGTTTTGTATACACAACACATCAGAGTCTCGAACGTTTGCATGCACGTTCATGACTCAAAATGAGAAAAAGCCACCAAATATCAAGAAAACTCAAAGGCAATCTGAGTGTGTTTGAGCATGTAGATGCCTGCGAGCGCTAGAAACAAACAGCATATTTACACGCATTCACACGCATGCATGCAGATGAGTCTGACCATCGTGTCAGGATCTGTGCTGCATCAGCCAGATTTATCATCCTCTGTGTGTGTGTGTGTGTGAGAGAGAGAGTGAGAGTGCGTGTGTGTGTGAGAGAGTGTGTGCGTGTGTGAGAGTGTGTGTGTGTGTGCGTGTGCGAGAGAGTGTGTGTGTGAGAGAGAGTGTGTGCGTGTGAGAGAGTGAGTGTGTGTGTGTGTG